CTTTCAGCAGAGCAGGAATGGACTCCTCCTTGGCTGCCCAGGACGGATCTGACCAGCCGGGGTCCTGTGTGATCTCAAACAGCTCTGCAGCCTGGAGGAGAACAGAGCAGAACAGTCGAGATGCAGTGCATGTTTGTGAGCAACCTGGTAACATGCGTCTCATTTATTTGTAATCACATTCTTTCAGCTTTATTAAAGTTCTAAAAAGAAAAAGAAAAAGAAAAAAGATTGGAGGATTGCTACAGCCCGGTGACTAAGACGCAACATTAATAACACTCTGAAAACATAGAGTTAAACTCTCTTTCCTGTCAGGTCTTCACCTTTGTGCGGAGGGCTGAGAGGACCGGGGCCAGCGCTGTGCTCTGGTCCAGCAGGGTCCGGGCCTGTTCCACCGCCTGCCTCCGCTCCCCCAGGCCGGGCCAGGGGAAGACACGCGGCAGGTTGGACGTCTGCTTCTGAAACTCAGACAGACGGGTCTCAGTCTGGCCTCGCTGGTACTGACAGGACACCATGCGCTCCACAATGCCCTTCAACTCCCTGACGGGTGAAAGAAGATTATAGATCACATTAGAAATCAGAATCACAGTTATTCTAGTCTTGGGTTGGAGTAAAAATTGAAACCGCTATGACCGAACACTGGACCGACATACCAAATGTCACCACTAGGTGTCACACTTCACTCGCTGCCTCCTCAGTTTTTCTCTCTCGTCGGCTTTAAATCTAAAAAGGTCGCAGCAGTTTAAGTTGTGTCGTCTTGTCACCTCAAAAAACATGATCTTTCTGTTAAACTAGCACGACGTACTTGTCTTCCCCTCCAATGTGACCTCCTTCATGTTAGTCTGTTTATAAACAAACATAAATTATGTTAATCACGTTTACATATTGTTTATTACTAACGTATTAAGAGTCGGATGTAGCGCCGTGGCTCCGACCGCACAGGTTGCGGATGTCTGCTGCATTTAATTTGCAAGAATGTGTCATAATGACAGATGACGAGTCAGCTTGTTTGTATATAATCAACTTAGACACCGGACCACACCGGCAAAACCGGAAACATTTGACAGTTGATTGGATGAACCATCTGTCAATCAAAGTCCTGTCGAAGCGATGTGATCTTGTGACATAGAGGTCACCGCTCACCGTTACTGGAGCCAGAAAATCCAAACTTCTTGAGGAAAGAAATGATTTGCTGCGTATTTAATTTAAAAACAAGCTTTTGAGTGATGTTCTGTAAAGTAAGAGATTCTTCAGAGAAAGAATCCAGCTGTCCTTCAGTACTTTCACATCAGCTCTTCAGTAATAGCAAAACTGGTTTCAGACGATTTAGTTCCAACAATCTACTTTGATTAAACACCATCAAAACCACAACCCTGCCTGTGGGAGGGAATTTAGTGTGTTGCCTCAGGACACTTATAGACAAATTAACAAATTTGCCCCCTGGGGATGAATAAAGTATATCTATCTATCCATCTATCTAGACAGATGCCTGCAGCCACAGAGCGCTGAACCTGAATAACAAGCTTCAGTCAGCTGATCTGTAGCCAAGCTACAGTGACAGTTATGTAAAGGGAAAGAAACAGAGAGAAGGCTTCCCCTTAAAGACGCTAAAAAACAGCTTCCTGTACCTCTGCGTCTCCTCAGCAGCCTGCAGGACCGTCCTCCACTGCTGCTCGGTGTCTTTGAGCGTCTGCTCGACCTCCGCTCTCTTGTCTCCCTGCAGGTCTCTCTGCTCGCACAGGCTCTGTGCTCGTCTGTTCAGCTCCATCACTTGAGCCTCGCCCCTGGACTTGGAGCTCAAGATGGCCTAAAGATACAAGTCATGAACTATTTCATTCGATATGTATTGCTTTGGAAAACAGCTTTCATGTGTCCACTGCCCCGATATAACAAATGTTAGCTACACAGAATAAAACATGCAATATGTTATTTTTAAAAAGCCCTGATGTTTGTTGTTGTACCTGTGCTGTGTTCAGCCGGTCCTCTATCTGAGCCCGGCTGCCCCGGGTGCCGCTCCCTTTGGACTTGGCCTGTTGCTGCAGCTTCGTGAGCCAGGTTTTGGTGCTTCCTGCTTTGGCGCGGAACGCCTCAAGCTCCCTCGACAGCGAGTAGTGGACCTCGGCTTTCTTCAGAGTGCTCTCGGCGGTCTGCAGGACCGTCATCCACTGCTCCTCCGAGTCTTTCACCGTCCGCTGGGCCTCTTGTCTCGTGTTCTCCTCCAGCTCCTCCTGGTCGGACAGACTCTGGCTCTGTCTCCTCAGCTCCGTCAGCTTGGAGTCTCCCTCGGGCTTACGGCTCAGGATAGTCTGAGGACGGAGATCAAAAATGACGTCTTTAAAACTGAAGCTTAAAGGGTTTTGCAAACAAAAGAAACATTAGCATGCCGGTAAAATATATTATAGACTGTTGTCATAACTGACAAAATAAGAAACTTATTTTATAGTAAATATATTGTTGAAATATATCCAGTGAAGGAAGTCTACGGCCTAGTTACCAAATATCACTGAAATGTGCTTCTGACATTTAAAAAAAGGAGGAACCAACGAGGACAATACCTACAAACACCTCGATCATTGGTGGTTAAATATTAATATCATAAAGAAAAACAAACCTATTTTGCTCATGATGAAAAAGCATGCATACGTAAAGGGATTATTATAGTCAAACTGACCTGTACAGTGCTTATTGTCTCCTCTGGATCAGTCTGACTGTCCAGAGAGACGAGGCTCTGCTGCTTGTCCTGCAGCCAGGCTCTGGTGTCGTCTCTCACGGCTTCGTAGTCCTTCAGCTGGCCCTCCAGAGCGCGCTGCTTCTCAGCCTGATCCAGGGCTTGTTTGGCATCGTGCAGGACTCTCGTCCACTGCTCCTCAGCGCCTCTTACTTTCTGTTGAACCTCTTGTTTGCTGGGTTCCTCGAGGTCGTGACCACACAAACTCTGGCCTCGTGTCCTGAGCTCCTGGAGCTTGGAGTCTCCTTCACCTTTGGATCTCAGAATGGTCTGGAGATAAGAAGCGGAAGTCATAGTTATCATCTTATAGTTAAGAGTTAACTTCTGGATTTTTCCACCATAACGAGTTTTCTCTTAGCAAGTAACAGACGGATCAAGTGAAAGGTAAAGAAAAGAAAAAGGTTGTATTTCTCTATTTTGGTTTTTCCATAATGTTGTCAGACTCTTGTAGTAACAATCTGAGACGGTCGGTGGCAACAACGAGCACTTTTAGTGGACGCACATTGACTGTAATGTAATGTGATTGCACTACAGCCTGTTCAGCGACTGCTGTCTGCAGCGTTCTTCTTCAATACTGGAACAAATTTAAATATTGTTTACCCCAAAAGCCACTTGGACAAGAGAACTTGGTTGAAAAATACTCCCTTTAATAATTGTATTATCGGGCTGAAGTCATGAATATAATCTTTGAATTTAAACATTATTATTTACAGACATTGAAAGTAAAGTTTGATTCAAAGCTTTAATGAGCAGGATGTCATCTCTCCCTGAAACATGACCCGTGAGCTCACCTGAGCAGTCTGCAGTCTGTCCTCAGCTCTGGTTTGGCTTTTCAGAGAGTCCAGTTGTTTCTGAAGATGTGTGAGCCAGCTGCTGGTCTCCTGCTGCTGGCTCTCAAACCCTCTCCGCTGAAGAGGAACAGACACTTTGAATGATTTAAAATGGATCAATCGAAGCTGCCCTTCAACAGGAAGGGGGTTACGTACTGTAGACACTTCTACATCATACGTACAGTCCCACTGACATTCAGCTAGTACTCACTTCTGACCAAAGTTTTCCAAATATTCAGTTATTAAATATAATACAACAAATATGCATTCACTGTGCATCAGGATTAAGAATGTTTTACAGGATTAGAACATGCTTATCTGTGTTAACAACAGTTTATGATATTAGCGCCTCTGGATGACAATAAGTGATCTTACCTCCAGCGTTCTCCTCTCGGTCTTCTGGCTGATCTCAGTTCCTGCAGCAGCTTCGACCTGTTTAGCCGCCAGCAGCACCGTCCTCCACTGCTCCTCTGTGTCACGGATCGTCTTCTGAACGTGGATTTTCCTGCCCTGGTCCACATCCTGGTGGTCACACAAACTCTGGCCTCGCCTCCTCAGGTTGTTTACCGTACAGTCGCCGTCAGGTTTGGAGCTCAAGATGGTCTGCAAACAAAACACGCAGACTTCATCTAATGCCATAGTTGATTCATTCAAACTTAAGAGTTGGGTGATTATACTTAACAAATTGCTGGATGAAAAAGGAAAGTTCATGTTGGACTTTGTGAGACACACCATTAATCCCCAATATCTCTACGATTCCCAACGACAGGGATGTCTTAAAGGTGTAATATGGACCTTTTACCCATTGAAATGTCTAAAAGCAACTCGACCTATGTCATACATTTTGTTGAGTTGTGTACTTCCAATTTCCCCAAATGTTTCCAACAATTTTCAAACCTGAGAAATCTTGAATTCTAATCAAAGTAACCGCCTATCAATGGTGTCATATCCCCTTTGTGCATGCAATGACATTTTATCCAGTTTAAAGCCTCGTTTTACGTTACAATTTTATTTCTAACTTTATTTTTAACTATATGGTTTAACCGGATGAAATCTCGATCCTAAGTTTTGAGAGAAACAAGCTGAGCAAACGTGAACTGCAGCACTCCGGGACATCCTGTGTCCAAGAACTGTGTACAATAAACACCGATTTTTAATGTGAAACTGCTATTCTGTGTTTTTACCAGTTTTAATCATCATAATTGTTTTGGAGCGGAGGACACCTTTGCGGATGATTCAGCTTTCTGTAAAAACATCCTGAATGTTTGCAAGTTATCAGAGGAACAAGTGAAGTAAAGGTTAGCGGCAGCTGAGCTCGCAGCCTCTCCAGGCTGTCCTTTGGAGCCTGGAGAGGAGAAACATACATTTTTCACATAGGCAGCTTTATTCAGTGGTTCTACTGGTCTTAATCAGCGGGTCCGTTTGTTTTAGAGAGGAGGGCAACGACTCCCATGATTCCACGCTACTTCACGTCACCAAACTCCTTATTTTGTGATTGACTCTATTAATGCCCCCCCCATATCTTGGTGAACTCACCAATACTCAGAAAACACATTGCTGCTACAGGACGATAAGTTGAAACAGACCTGGGCTGTGTGACATCTCTCGTCCGGCGGTGTGTGACTGCCCACAGACTGCAGCTGCTGTTGTCCGTCTCTGATCCACGACTGAGTATCTTTACTCTGCATGTCGAAGTCGTCCGTCAGCGTCCGGAGCTCTGCCTGCCTGGCGGCCTGCAGAAGCGTCCTCCACTGCTGCTCCGTGTCTTTTACCAACTGCTGAAGCTCCTGTTTCCTGCTCTCCTCCAGACGCTCACACAGACCTTCACCTCGTGCCTTCAGCTGGAGCACCTTGGACTCTCCCTCAGGTTGGGAGGTCATAACAGCCTGAAGGGGAAGAACCAGACAGTTAGTTAGACTAGATAGTTAGTCAACCATGATGGAAGGCATGTTGTGCAAAGAATAGCAGCTCAGCGTTCTTTGTCGTGGTGAAACAAAAAGATAAAAAGAGTAGAATTAACTCTGATGAAAACCACCTGTTTGTAAGTCGTAAACACAGGACAATTTAGATCAGGCTTGGAAAATGGATCCCTATAATTGTTTATCTCACATTCCTATCATGGCTTCCATAAAATACATTACTGATATTAAACGAAATGTTCTCACAATAGAACAACCTGTGATTTTCAAACCAACCCCGACTAAACTCACCTGTGTAACCTGTAACCGTTCTTCAAACTGCATGTGACTACCGAGGGACAGCAGCTTCTGCCTCTGCTCTCTGATCCACGACTGGATGCTTTCACTTTGGGCTTTGAAAGCGTCAAAGTCCGTTTCAGCTGCAGCTTCAGTCTCCGCCCCGTTAAGACCCTCCTCAGCGGCCTGCAACACTTTCCCCCACTGCTCCTCTGTTTGTCTGACTGCGTCCTGAACCTCTCGTCTCTTGCTCTCGTCCAAGCCCCGGTTGTCACACAGACTCTGGCATTGTCTCTGCAGGTCCTGCAGCTTTGAATCTCCATCAGGTTTGGAGCTCAGAGCAGCCTGACGAGAACACAAATCCCTTTAGGAGACCACTCTGCCTCTTTCCTCATAAACCAAGCCTTTATAAGATGATCAAAACATTACGACCCACCACACACTTCACCATCTGATGCACATTTTAAACTTACTTGTGCAATCTGGAGCTTTTCTTCAGCTTGCATGCAACCACCAAGCGACTGCATGTTCAGCTCCTGGTCTCTGATCCAGGACTGGACAGTTTCGTTCTGGGTTTTGACGGCGTCCAAGTCTTTGTCTAAGAGGACTTGTGTTTCCGCCCTGGTGAGATTGTCCTCAGCTGTCTGCAGAGCCGTCCTCCACTGCTCCTCTGTTTCTCTGAGCGACTGTTTAACTTCCTGTTTCCTGCTCTTCTCCAGGTCCTCCTGCTCACACAAACTTTCACTTTGTCTTCTCAGGTCGTTCACTTTAGAGTCTCCCTCGGGTTTGGAGTTCAGGACGGCCTGGTGACAAAACAGAAAAGAAATAAAGATGATGAAAACCTTTGGAAAAGGAAATTACATTTTAGCATGTGGCTATTGGAAGTACAAGTATCAGTCTGTTGACTGAAACATCTCAACACAACTCTTGGCACTGACGTTCATGGTCCTCAGAGGATGAGGCTTCTCAATCAGACATCCTAATCCTGTCTGTCTTTAGTGCAGTGTTTGTTGTTGTAGTACTTCTTCTGACCACAAGAGGCTGAAGTGCACCACTACCCCTTGTTCTTAAAAATGACTGAAAGCACTCATGTTTCCAAGTGACTGTAATTCACAGAACTTTCTATCACACAACATATGTAAAGAGTGCATGGAGCGCCTCTCGGGGGCTCTGTCATCTTTAGAAAAAGGATAACATATAATGTTAATATAGTCTGAATGTGGTTTCTGTCACATTCACCATTCTGGTTCATTCAAATCAGCTTGTGACCAGATTTTCTTGTTCAGTGAAGTGGAATCCGATCGGGTTTCATTCACCTGTGCTTTGTGTTTCATCTGCTCCGTCTGAGCGTCTCTGCCCGGGGAGGCGAGGGGGCCAACAAGGTCAGTTATCCAGGTCCTGGTACTCTTAGCCTGGCTGTTAAACTTGTCAGACTCCCTCTCCAGCGCGCTCTGGGCATCTGCTTGCCTCTGCAGCCGGCTCTCCAGGTTCCTGTAGCGTTGTATCAAGTTATCGCCGTCCTTCAGGAGGCTTTCAGCTCGGACGCCTTGTCTGCGTACCGACGCTAAGAGATCACTGAGGCTCTCAGCTCTGCCGCTGTCACATGGAAGGCAGGGTTTTAACAACAACAGGCAAAGTGTTGGACTTAAAGACATTTAGACAAGATGTACAGGAAACACAAGGCGATATAAAGAGACAATGGAAAGTGAGATAGAAGGTTGAAAAGACAAGTGGAAACTAGGCTTCATGCTCTAGCTTTTGGTTGTTTAGCTTATTTTAAATATGTAGCCACCCGACACCAAGTATTTCAATAATAATAACTAATCATTAGATGCGTCTCCAATTTTTAAACCATCCATTAGAGTGGTGAGACAATCTTAGGGTCCAGTTGTCACAGATTTATCAATCCTGCCATATTTGGTAGAAATGTTTTACAAGCTGCACATTTCACATTTCACATTTCATCCTATTTTTCCAGATATATTGTTGCATCTGTTGATTTTATTCATTATTATTACATATATAATCATTTAATTGCAAGTGGAGTTACCATTTACTGTTATTTGATCTGTAAAATATCTTTGTCTCAACGTTTTGATGATCAAAGCAGACAGTTCAGAGCGTTCAGCATCAGAATGAATGAATGAATGAATGATCACCTCTCATCCTGAAGGTCTTTGAGAAGAAGTTTGACTTTGTGCAACTCCACAGACAGTTTCTCTTTGTTCTGCAGCCACTCACAGAAGCTAGCGTGTTGCTTCTGCAGACTAGAGAACAAAAGACACAGGTAACAAAACAAACAACAGGTTTTCTTCGTGGTTACAATCACACTCTTCACGCCATTTGTAAGATTCCTGCTCAAAATGGAAGATTTTTACAATTCTGTCTCTTTTAAATCTCCATTTTCTTCGCCAAAGAAGCAATTACCTGTTCAAGTCACTGAGGAGTGGCTCCATTTGTTTCTGCCTGCTGTGGCAGTGTGTTCTGAACGTTCCCACCTCCTTCTGCTGCTCCTTCACCCAGTCGGTGAACTCGGAGAGCTGCTGTGGAGGAACCTGCTGGCCGCCTCTCTGCAGCTGATCCTTCAGCTGGTCCAGACGTCTCTCTGGATCCTTGGACTTTAAGAAACCCTGGCGGACATGAGACAAACTGTGAGGACCTGTTCATCATCCGACCATCTATCTAGCCGTCGACGTGTAACTTCCACTTACAGCGAGTCTTTGCAGGGATGTTTCCACGTCTGCTCTGCTCTCAGGAGACTCAAAGCACTCATTGACGGACAGCTGCAAGTCCTGGAACCATTCCTCAAACGACTGCCTCTCATCTGGAGAAAAATTACAAAATATTTAAGTCATATATTTTTACAAAACAGGATTCACACGAAAGTAATATAGTTACAAAATAGGTGCAATAACACTGAGCATCTGTTCAGTGTTTTACCTGGAAAAAAAGAAAACAATTTGCATATTCATCAGATTCTGAGAAACATCGCTTCGAAAAATTCTAATAATAATATAAAATAAACTTTACTTAAAGAGAACTTTTAATATAATACAAATAATATGTAGCTTAAAGTACTTTACAACACATTTAAACATGCAACACATTCAAACAATAGATAACACAATGAGACACTTGGCATATATTAACATTAACATTAATATGGCAACACTGCAATGGTGAAAATAACCACATACAGTGCTTTACAAAAAAAAAAAAGAATTACATTGCCAAAGACTGCTCCCCTGTAATTGTCGTGCACCTGTCATGGTCACATTTCTCCGCTGTTATTTTCCACCAGATGAACGTCCACTCAGACAGGAGACACAAACTCCACACTTACCCTGGATAACCTTGAGCAGGCCTTTGTCCCTCTCCTCTCTCTTTAGGTGAATCATGTCCCTGGTGCGGGACATGGCCTCCTTCAGCCTGCTGCAGTCCACGGACAGGGCCTCCAGCACCTGAGGACTGGCCACGCTGGAAATCAAACCGACCTCCTTCAGAACAGCCTCGGCCTGCTCCTCCTGAGCCTCCAGGTCATCGCACACACGCTGGTGAGGACAAGAGATGAAACTGTTTAGTCAAATCACAGGAGTATCAAACCAAAGTGAGTTCAACCTGATACCAGCTGTGTACCTGTATCTGGTCCTTGAACTTTGCTTGTGAGGCATCGACTTTACTGACGGAGCACTGGATGCTGTCCACGGCTGACTGGCACTCCTCCATCTTCTCGGCCAGGTGTTTCCTCACGGCCACCAGCTCCTCAAAGACGTCGGTGCAGTCGGTAAACAGCTCCTTCACCTGCTCCATCCTCTTCCTCAGCTGGGTTTCACTCACCTAATTCAAACATTGTAAAACAGATAAACACGGCGAGAACACAGTACTGTGAGCATTGAATGTGGATATCAAGCTAAAGAAATAACAGAAGCAATGTTCAGACTCACCTGCAGCTCCAGTGGGGGTTCGGGACTCTGCAGCATCTTCTGGATCTCTACAGACTTCTTGTGGAAATGCTCAATGTTCTCCTCATTGACATGGATCTCGTCCTGCAAAGCAAAGAAAGGTTTGGTATAAGTCTCATCTTCTACACATAGACGCAGACCATTTCTTGGGAGGTTGCTCATGCTAGCGGTGGAGCAATAAGAGTTGTACTTCTCTGGGAATCTTACCCTCATGGCGAGAACTTGTTGCTCATTGTGGAAGGGATGGCTCTCTGCGAACAGGGAGAGTTTGGCTCCTGCCCAGCCGTCCACCTCTCCCCCCAGCATGAGCTGCTTCTCCCACAGCTCCAGCCCCACCTGCAGGTTGTCCATGTAGGCGTCTGTCTTCTCCGTCACCTGCGAGACCACCAAAGATCAACATTTGGTCAAGTTAAGTGTTCCAATCATGGTTTCCAAACTAGAATTTGGTCCTTTTTTACAGTGGGTGGTGCTTAGCAATGTGATTATTGTAGTAACTATATTTTCAATTCTGCAGAATCAAAAGTTATAAATCCTTCTTTGATCTAGCTTCTTTCTTGCTCAACATAAAAGTTCGGAAGAATATGCTTAGAAACATTACAAGTACACTTTCCATATCTTCCTATCTCATTTCTAGGGATAGGAGACACGTAGACGCTTACATCCAGCCAGTTGTCCATGAGTGTGTCAGCTTCGGCTTCAAAGGGAGTCTCACTGCAGGCTGGGAACATCTTCAGTTGGGACTGCAGCTGTCTGCAAACTCCCCTCATCTGCTCCACGTGCTCCGCAACACCACCGAGCCCCTCCTTAATATCACGGACCTGGAGAGACACACACACACACACACACGTGAACATAGAGTATTCCTAAGCACACTGTGTCTGATCTTATTTTAAAATGTGTCTGCCATCTACTGGTTCTTTACATTTACTGTGTGTGTACAAACAAGTTCTCACTCCCAACTCGTCAAATACTGCAGCTCGGTGAGTGTTCCTACGCTTCAGACTATGATGCTCTACGTACTTCTCTAGCGCCGGTTTTGCTCGCGTCAATTTCTCCTTGTTACATGCATCCACTGTCTTTCCAAAATACACTTTCATGTTCAGGAAACAACTTGGTAGGATTTAGGAAAGCACCGTGGTTTAGGTTCAAATAAGAACCAGGTAAGTTCTGTAAAGTTACGTAACTTCAAATAAGTCAACATTAACTTTTGGTTTCACACAAGACACGAACAGAAGTCTTCTGGGTGAAAGTCCTGTGTTTGTTTGACTCATCCATATACCCCGCCCTCTTCCCATTTAGGGCTTTATCGCTGTTTATATGACGTCGCCTTACTTCCTCCTTTACTCCCGCCATAACTACAGCTATAAAGTGCCATGGTATTGTATTTGACGTGTTATTTCTTGTTCATTATCTTAAGCTGTTTTAATCATGTTTGTAAAGATTTTTTTTATAGTTTAAGTCTCAAACGTAGTCAAAGTTGATGGAAAATGTTTCCCTGGTGTCGTGTGTTTTAGGCGCCGGATATTTTATCTGCCCAGAGACTGTTTACCACTACAGCAATGGACTACTGTCTTTTCTTTTGTTTTTCTTGTAAAGCCTAGAGGTACTACAACTGCAGTTTGTTGTACACCCCTGTGTGCATTGATGGTAAACTAACCTTGAACCTGAACCCTGTGTGTCCACACACTCTTATGTGAATCCTATCCACAGCACATGAAGGACTTCTGCAAACAAAGAGCGTTAGTTTTGTGTACTAACCCTGGTAATACTTCTCTGCAGCTTGTCCTTGCTCAGGTAGGAAGTCTGATCTTCGATCGTCTGCTCTGCTTTCTGCATGGTGTTGCTCAGCTGACTGCCGCAGCTCTGGAACTTCTTCAGAAGCTCCAGCAGGACGTTGCACTGCTTCTTCCTGCCAGAGGAAGAAAATAACAGAAGGGACTTTAAGCGAACCCTAACCCTAACCCTAACCCTGCTGTCGGACAGACTTAGTCAGCCGTCAACATTCATCTAAACAGAAGTGTAAGACTAGCTTACACAAATATCCTACTAGCTCATATCAGACATCCATAACCCGTTACAGTATTTACAGTTACAGTGACTTTGATTGTGTGTTAGCCAGCTGCTCATAGTATCTGTTCAGGTTTACAGTGTAGCTCAGCTTAAGCTGGCGTACATTACTGAGGTGGCCGGCAGTCACTTATTCCTGATAGCTTAATCTATTTGTACACAATTCGTTGAGTTACTTGAGCTGACCGTGCTTCTCCTGCCTAACTCACCTGTCAAAAAAAGCTCTCTGGGTTTCCTTCCACTGAGTCTCCAGCTCCTGGAGGAGGTGCTCCCCTCCTCCCTGTTTCTCTTGAAGTTCCCGGAGGTTCTGGAGCTCTGCGTGCTGGGCCTGCAGCTGACCCTCCAAATCTGACAGGGCACGAAGCCTGGACGATATTACAGGATTATTATCAGAGAGATTATTTTCGGAATTCAGGCTTTGAACAGGAACTTTATACTCTTTTAAATTTATACTCTAATCTCTAATTACAACCAACAAAGAAAGCTTAAGAGTTGTTGCATTAGCATGAAGAAACACAACACACACCCGTGATGCACAGCAGGTATGGTGGGCTCCTTCAGGCCTTGTGTCTCGATGGTTTCCTGCAGCTTCCTCAGCTCCCCCATCAGCGTCCTCTTCCTCAGGCCCAGCGACTTGCTCTGTGTCTCCTTCTTGAGGCCCTTCTGCTGGCTGGCCAGCCCACCGTCCGCCTCCTCCAGCCTTCCCAGCAGCGTCGTCACCATGTCCAGGCAGGAGGCCGGGACGCCATCCCTGGTGACCGTCAGCCTGGCCCCCTGCAGGAGCACATCCAGCTGAGGCGCCTTTTCTTTCAGACTGTCGGTGCTCTGCCTGATCAGAGCCAGCTTGGAGCGACAGTCCTGCAGCACCACAGTGTCGCTGCAGGGGGCGTCTTGGACCCCGGAGATGTCTTCATCCACAGTACGCAAGGACATGAGGAAGCGGTCGAGGGCGCGGGCGGCTGCCTCACTCTTCCGGACCTGCTGTCGAAGCTGATCCAGGCTGGCTCTGTGAGTCTCCACCTCACGGGACAGAGGGAGGCAGTCTCTGGGGTCTAGATCGCTGGATTCAGGGTGTAGACGGGACAGCTGGCCCAGCTCACTCTGAATGTTATCATCCAGCTCCTGTCGCAAAAGGAGACAAAGTGTAGCGTGAGATGAGATGGCTCTTAAGTGTGAGATTAGCTCACAAGGTCAATGTGCACATTGTATTCTAAAGCTGCTCGTTACAAGCACAAAGTTATGGTGTATTCAGTCTGAAGCAAAGCATTTTTTATTGTCTTTATTTGCCCAAATCTAATCTGTTTTTAAATGTTTTGTCGTCTTTGTTTAAGGCAATTAACTCTAGTTGTTTCTAAAAAAAGATTCTGCCATTTTCACAGGTTTTGTGTCCGTTTCTGCGATAATGTTTTTACTGAAATTGAAACATTTTGGACTCATAGAAGTGTGCGAGTTGTGTTCAGTTTGAACACTTTAGTTTAAATCATCAAATTGGGATTCTCAGGGATCAGTTCGGCTTTCTAATTCGGTTATTTTTATAGTATAATTTTTTTCTCACTATTAATAATATCTATTATTGCAAAACACAAAAGCAAAAGTATTCATGGCTGATGGAATACCTTGATGTCTTTCAGGATGTTGGTGTTGGCCAGTGTGAAGGCGTTGATGTCCTTGGGCTGCCTCAGGTAGCGGTCCAGGCGGTCTGTGAAGTCCACCATGTGGTTCTCGGTGGAGTCGATCTGTCTGAGGGCGGCGCCCAACGAGCTGCCCCTCCTCTGAAGTTTGGACTGTTGGCCGCGCCACTGCTCCTGCAGCTCTGCCTTCTCCTGCTCCAGAACAGTGGTGCCGCTCAACTGGGAGCACTGGTTTGCATACTCAGACCACAGAGATTCTGTCTCCTGCCTCCAGAACTGGGAAGAGGGGAGTTTAACTCGAGATTACTGTCATGTCATGAGGGGCGAAATTTACTTTTCATTGTATAGAAGTCTATGAGAAAATGACTCTACTTCTCTCTTGATTTATTACCTCAGTAAACATTGTAAACATGAGTTTATGGTCTCAATCTCTAGTTTCAAGTCTTCTTCAATACAGCATGATGTTCATTGAGTACATTATGGTCCATTTAGAGTCAAACAGACCATGAAGGAGAGTATGCTTTAGGGCGAGGCTAAATCATACCCTCAAATCATAAGCGTTAGCTATGCTACCATTACCTGTCTCCATCGGGCCTTGCTTTTCTCCAGCTCCACCCTTTTGTTCAAATATAAAAAACCAAGATGGCGACCGTCCAAAATGCCAAACTATAGGCTTCAAAACAAACCAATGGGTGCCGTCACGATGGCTAAGTCCACTTCTCATACACAGTCTACGGTCTGTATCTGTTGTATGTGTTGTACCTGTATTTCCTGGATCCGTGTATGGAGGCCTTTCAGAGACACGGAGTCAGAGGGGACATCCTTGATGCTCTGGTCATTTTTAGCCAGTTGGGCTTGCAGGGACCTCTTACAATTCTCATATCTGGAAGAAGTTAAAACAAACAAACACAAGTTACTAATGACTGAATATAATAACCTTCTTACAGTATAGTTTTGATCAATGCACTGTATTTTCTGTTATCCTATCAAAGCCTAGACTGCGCTGAATTTAGTCTACCTTTCTAAAGTCTCCTTTTTGGTGACTTCTTCCTCTACAGACGTCTGCTTTTCAACCTCCTTCCTCTCCACAACAACTGTCTTCATTGTCACTGGAAACACCTGAAGGAAGAGTAAGAGCATGTGTTCTGTTATCTCAAACCTCTGGAAGGGATCAGTGGATGTCTGTAGTGTTTGCATGTTCAATATAAAGAGAACAAAGTTTCAATGGCAGTGAGTCATACCTCAGCTGAGACCTGAGGTTTGTCACTTGGTCTTGGAGGCTCCTTTTGTGTGCTCAGATCCTCACTGAAGGCAACGGGAATCCTGTGAAACAGATATGAGGATAATCATTTCTAACTGCTGCATAATACAGCATCCTTCCTTAAACATCCACAAGTGGCTTTGGAATGTTTGGCTTGTGAAGTTTGAAGGACTTCATGACCCACAAATCTAAAATGACATATGACAGATGACTATGTAGAGAAAAAATGACCCACCTTCATCTCAAGTTTAACAGGTAATTTTAACTTCATATTCAGACTTTTTATTAGGGCAACGAAAACATCTGTCCTTGAGATGAGTACACACAAAGGTAAATTAAGGATACAATTCAGTAAAAGAAGAGTTGACTTACTGTCTCTGCTGTTTAGAAGATTGCATTTCACGCTTGCAATATCTTACCTAGAATCGGGGAGTGGTGCGTCTTGATCTCCGCTGAACTGACGCTGGATGGCAGCCAGCCTCGTCTCACACTCCCTCAGCTGAGTCTGGGCCAGGCGGTGAGCATCCTCGGGGCTCAGGGTGTCACACAGCTCTTTCAAGGCCTCGAGGTGCTGCCCTGCCTGGGCAAAGCTCCCCTCCGCTGAGAAACAAGCCTGGGGAATGTCGCCATAGCCAAAACAGTAAGTAAACAGGCGAATAACTGGATTTAAAGCCAGATGAGTAGTACTAGCCATTCAAACTTAGAAAAATATTTTGTTTTAACTCAGCTTTTTATGTTGTTTTAAAAAAAAAAAATGTATACAAATTTGAACAGGCTTGACCTTTTTACTTGCTTTTACTTGACATCCTCTAATATGACAGAATCTCATGTAAGCTTAGTTTTGACAGTTTAACAGATGAACTGCAACACAGAAGCCAACCCCCAGATGACAGCGGCCAACAGATGTACTGCACAACAAATAAAAAAATGCTGTTTTCATGTTTTCACGGGATTTATTCTATGCTGAACTTACTATGTAGTATATAACTGAGTTAAATCTAAATTAGTTAATTTAGTTGTTTATGTTTTCTTTGTTTCTCTTTTATGGCCCAACAAGTTACAGTAAAATCAAGATACTAAATAGGGTTTCAGGGCACTGTAAACACACCCAACAAAAACAGCACTCCCTTAAAAGAGCAACCAGAATGATGGATTGCAAATTACCAACTCCCATTGGCAGAGTCTCCTTGGAGGCATACAAAAGAAGACGGAGGGAAGAGGGTTAGTTAAGCAGAGCAGATAAACTGGCTGCACTCCCATCCACCAAAGCACACCTTCCAAGAGTTATGGCTCCAGTAGTTTAGCTACCTGCACTTGGTTTTCTAAGCGGGAGCTTAAGTGCATCTCACACTGCAGGGCAGCTTTGTTAAAGTCTTTCCTTGTTACGTCAAAGCGTAATTGTTGCAAAAAGTCTGAGATCTCAGCTCTCACAGCCTGGGAGATAAAATAAAATGAATTCACAAAACCCACATGACATGTTAGAACATATTACTCAATACAATAGTAATCATATGAATGCTTTATTCATATCTAAAGCTGACAAGCAGAATATGTCGCAACAGCTTTAGTACATTTATAATTCACATGCACAAGCAATTATATTCTAACCTCAAAGAACACGATAACGCCTCATTAAAACTAGTGGACAATTCCCGATTAACAATAATTAAAGTCCTACACATTAACAACAACCACAGTGAGTGAGTGTGTCCTACCTCCCACTGTGTCCGGACAGACTGGGTGAAGAACTCCATGTCCCTGAGCTGTGAGGGGGTACAAAAGGCCTCCATGCCCTTGGCTGCTCTCAAGAACTCTTCTAGCAACTCTGGGTCCAGGGTCTTCAGAGTCTCCTGAGGGGAAAGGCAAACGTATAATTGACTGGCTCCTTTTAAATCGTGAACTTCAGCTAAAAACTGTAGTAGGAATAAAGAGGTGTGTTTATTTTGGCATATTTGATCTGAAATATCTCCCCTTTAAAAGTTATTACAGCACCTAGTTTTAGTACATTTTAATCCTTCACCTCCTGTCTGCTATAAGTTTTCTTTTTCCCCAAGAAAGAATAACCGACCTCTGAATGTTATATTGATTTGGAATTTGAAATACAAAAAGTGATTACATTTACCTCTTTCACTGATGCTTGCTCGGCCGACATACACTTGTCTTTGAAAACGTTAATGGTTTCCAGGATGTGCTCCTGCAGACAGTGCTTGGCCTCCTCAAAGCCATTTCTGGCCAACGCCTGGGCCTTAGTGTAAGCCTCTGTGTAGGTCTGGGGGGGCGCCTGTGCCAGGGGGGCAGGTTTGATGCACAGGTCTGGTGACTCAGCCAGGGACTGAGGCAGCACATTGACCTGGGAGAGGAGAACAGTTTGGGGCTGTTGAGGTTTGGGTTGCAGAGAAGACTGTGGTTTTGACTGTGACAGGGGCTGGGTCTGAGGTCTGGGCTGTAGGGGTGATTGAGCCTTAGATTGTGGTGCAGTTTGGGCCTTGGCTGGTGGTGGTGGCAATTGAGCCTGATGGGGTTGTGGTAGGAACTGTGCCTGTGGTTTGGGTTGTGGCACTGATTGGACCTTGGGTTGAGTTGAAGACTGAGCTTCGGGTAGCAGTGCTGTTTGGATCTGTGGTGGTGATTGGGCCTTGGGTTGAGTTGGTGACTGACCCTTGGGTTGGGTTGGTAATTGAGCTTCGGGTAGTGGTACTGTTTGGGCCTGTGGTTTGGGTTGTGGTGGTGATTCAGCCTTGACTGGTGACTGAGCCATGGGTTGAGGTGGCACCTGGGGCTCAGGTAATGGTTGCGGCAGTGATTCAGCCTTGGGTTGGGTTGGTAACTGGACCTTAGACTGAGTTTGAGATTGAAACCCTTGTTGTGGTGCTAACTGGGCCAGAGGTTTGGGTTGTGAAAGTGCTTCAACTTTTGATTGAGTTGGTGACTGAATTTTCGGTTGCGGTGGGAGCTGGGCCTGATGTTTGGGTTGTGGAGGCAGCTGCTGGAACTGAAGATTGAGCTGAGGCTGCTGAGTCTGGGCCTGGGGCTTTACTTTTACCGATGACTGCGTCTGGATGTGTGTTTGGGACTGTGCCTGCAGCTGGGGTTGGAGCTGAGGCTGGGAAGGAAGGTGAGGATGGGCTTGATTAGGTGGTTGTGATTGAGGAGGTATTTGAGCTTGCATCTGAGGGTGACACTGAGTTTGATGCTGAATCTGTGAATAATGCTGAGATTGAGGCTGGGGATAAGGCTGGGGCTGAAGTTGAGGCGGTGCCTGAACCCAAGTCTGTTGCTGAACTTGACCTTGTTGCATCTGGATATGAAACACATTATGAGCACTCATTTGAGATTGTTGTGGTATGGAACTCTGGGCTCTAATTTGAGGTTGTGTTTGAGCCCAGGGTTGGGTTTGTGTTTGCATTTGAGGCTGAGTATATGATGGCCCCATTTGAGAATACCCGGGGGGCCCAACCTGAGGACCTTGCTGGGGCCCAGCTTGAGGCCACTGCGGCAGAGCTTGAACTGTTGGATAAGCCTGAGACTGTGGAGCTTGGCCTATTTGCTGAGGGTATGGTTGAGGACTTGGATGCCTCTGCTGGTCAATGGCTTGGTTTTGTGGCTCAGGTCTGGGTGTCCACTGCTGGGATGGGGACTGACTCTGGGAGTAACCTTGAGAGTAAAGTGGAGGTTGTGCTGTAGCCTGCGGATGCTGGACAGACATTGGGGATGAGACTCTAACTTGAGTCCAAGCATGAATTTGGCCCTGGGAAATATGGGCTGGGTGCTGGACCTCTGGCTGAGCATGTGTGGCATACTGAGTCATAGACTGAGAATGACCCAGTTGAGTTTGATGTTGAGTCAAAGGTTGGGAGTGACGTGATTGGGCCATTGGCTGAGCATGGGTTTGAGGATGGGTCATAGACTGAGGACGGATTTGAGACTGGGCCACGGACTGAGGACGGATTTGAGACTGGGCCACGGGCTGAGGCCAGATTTGAGACTGGGCCACGGGCTGAGGCCGGATTTGAGACTGGGCCACGGGCTGAGGCCGGATTTGAGACTTGGCCACGGACTGAGGATGGATTTGAGACTGGGCCACGGACTGAGGATGGATTTGAGACTGGGCCACGGGCTGAGGATGGATTTGAGACTGGGCCACGGGCTGAGGATGGATTTGAGACTGGGCCACGGACTGAGGATGGGTTTGAATATGGCCCTGTGTTGGTGGCTTAGGGGACAGCGGCCTGACAGGGGCCCATGACTGTGGATGACTACGAAGCTGAATGTGGGATGGCACTGGAGGCTGAATTTGGCCCTGCAGTGGAGCCTGCATAGGGGTAGAAGGTCTGACTTGAGCCCATGTCTGCACTTGAGCTATAGCTGGGCCATGGGCTAGACCCTGTGGCTGCAAAGACGGCTGAGGTCCAGCTGGGACACATGTTTTGGATTGAGTCTGAACCTGGTGCTGGAGCAGTTGTTGTGTCTGTGGCTTGGTCATTGACTGTGGCTTCATGGGGCCATGGGGCTGTGGAAGAACTTGTGTCTGTGACTGGCCCTGGCTCACTACGTTTTGAGACTTGGTCTTCAGTGGTTGCTGATCATCTGTGGTAGTGTGGGACACACTTGTCGACTGCACCTGCATTTGTACCACTGTCTGAGATTCAGACTGAACCATAGTTTGTGGTTGTGACTGATTTTGGGCTTTCGTTGGTGGGTGAGGCTGAGCCATAGTTACGGTCTGGGATTTAGCCTTGGTGTCTGAATCTGGTTGAGCCTGTCTTACAGTAGGCTGTGGTTGTTTTTCCTGTTGCTGAAGCAATTGTTCCTGATGTTTTTGCTGCTGTGGTTGTTGTTGTTGCTTATGTTGCTGCGGCTGCTCTAGATGTCGAGGCTGTGTTTGTTTTTGTTTATCTCTTAGCTGTTGTTGTGGCTGCTCAGTAATCTTTGCATGTTCCTCAGGCTGTGGCCTGGCAGTTGCTATATGCTTTGAAACAACCTGAACTGAACCCACTGTTTCTCTGTCTGACTGTGGCTGAGGCTGTCTACTCTGAATTGCTCCCTGAGTAGAAACCTGTTCTGGAGTTTTATGCTCTCCTGAGGCTGGCTTCTGAAGCCAGGGCCGGTTCTTCATTGCCTGAGTCTTTCTACTTTGAAGCTCCTGGGAGCTAAGATGCGGTTTCTTTACAGGTGGTTGTTGAAGTGAAGTCTGCTCTTGGGACTCTGATGTCTGTCTGTCTGTTACCACCTGCTGTTGAACTTGGTATTGATGCATTTCTACCTGCTGTTGCTGCGCCACCACTTCTTGTTGTTGTTCCTGCTTCTGCTGTTGTGTTTGCATTGACCCCTGCTGGTGCACTGGTTCTGGTTGCTGTTGCTTGAGTTCTTGCTGGTGCAGCTCCTTTTCCTTCTGTCTGTTAAGTTGCTCTTGCTGCTGAATCAATCCCTGTTCCTGAGTCTGCTGCTGTTGTTTTACAGTGGTCTCTATCCAGGCCTGAACCTGGCCTTCTGGTGGCGATTTTGTCCTGGTCTGCATCACAGCCTGTGCGTACGTATATGGCATTGGAGGAGAAGTCACCTTTTTGTCTCTGTATTCCTGCACCACTATCTTTGGCACGAAGGCTCCATGAGACTCAACTAACGTTGTATCGGGCTGCTGAGTTGGCTGTCTGAGATGTTGAGGCTGTTCTTTAGCCTGTTTAAAGACTTTTGATGGAGGGGACCCTTCTGGAGGGCTTCTGCTTCTGTCTCTCCTGGCTCCCAGGCTGCTCAGCATGCCTACAGCTTCCTGGAATTGAAATCACTCACATTAGAAAAGCTGACATTTGCATTATATTATAATAATATTTGCTGCTGTGGCCTTCCTACGTCCTCAAGTACAGATGCAAAACTAAATGGCTTGCTCAGACCATTTACAAAAAAAGCAAACTGGCCTGTGACTGTGCAACAGCGGCTCGGACTCGGTCCTGCATGGCGGAGGCATGGAGGTACTGGATGGGAGAGTTCTTCTGACTCGTCATTACCATCACCTGCAGGTCCTGCTCTTCTGTGACCACCTGACCCTCCAGCTGCAGACCACGGGAAATCAGGACCTGGAGGAACAAATGGTGTTAAACAACCATCAGTGTTTCCTCAATTCCACATGAAGGTTTCTTTATAAAAGGACAATAAGTGTGTCTTAGGAGCTTTGATTGTTACAAAGTAAACAAATGTGGATGGAGAGTCACAGCAGATCAACCTCTTTCATTCGGTGGATCATCTTACCCTGGCTCGTGGGTCCTGGCCCCGCTGATGTTGATGTTGTTGTTGTCGCTCTGCCGCCCTCAGCAGCTGGTAGAGCTCCCGGGTCTCAGCCTCCCAGTAAAGGAGTTCAGCCAGGCGACTGTCCAGACCCAACACACTATGCTGCAGCTCTATACACACCTGTTCTGCCTCAAACAGGGTCTGCATCACCTGGTGACATGTAGGGAACAGATGGTAATCACTGAACTTGCAGTACATACTGTGCATTCACTAATGGTGGCTGCCAGTGACTATTGAGGGACAAAATGTGATAAACAGGGGAACAAAATATAACAACATGAATGCTCATGAACTCAGCTGTATAAAGGAAGTCTTAAAAAGAAAGAAATCATTCGTACTTGAGGTACAGCAAGCTTCAGTTTCTCTAACTGATCCCCTGAGCATTCTCGGGAGGGACCCAGAGCCTCCACATCCGCTTCTTTGATTTTTCTCATTATGAACTGAAGGAAAAAAAGCAAACAGTCAATTCCAGAGAGGTGTATCTCGTCATTTAAAGTGACATTTTTATAAAATGACAATGTTCGGGCCAGACTGTTGTTGCACATATAATCATTACATTCTCTTATCAAAAGGTCTTACTTAGATCTAACTTAGATCATTGGCCAACATTTGTCATTTTAGGATTATTGAAAAAAGTTCTGCTGCACTTGTTTGGCAGGACGTTTTTACTAACTTAATCTTTCAATAAAATCAATATTTTAAGTCGTATAATATGTTTCAAAGGTAAATGGCTGTGTGGTGAGCAAGACAACAGACTTGTGTAGCGTTTTCCTAATGCTCTGAAACTGTCCATGTGATATTTATCTGCTCATTGCTGGGTGACAGTCAGACGTTAAGACAGTTATTACTTAAGAACAGCTATGACTCTACTCTACCGTGCCACGGGTGTATCTAACCATCCATTAGTCCTACCTGTATTCTTTTTCTGTAGGTGCGTAAGGGACCTGCCATGGCCTCCAGAGGCTCTTTGAAAATGAGAGTGGCCTCTTTGATTAGAGCTTGGAGGTCCTGGGATCTGGTCTGGACGTCAGCACTGGGCTCAGCCCCGCTGACCTGGAACCAGGACAAACAAGTAAAGCTGTTAAGTATCAGGTAAATTACAAGTCAAGTGCAATAATCAGACAAACAACAGAAGCTGACAATGAAAACTGATAACTTACTTTTAGAAGACAAGCCAATACAAAGTGTTTGGAGTTTTGAAGATAGAACTATTTTAAATATTGTTTTTTATATAGCATTTTAAAGGAATACTTCACCCACAAAATTACCATTTGTTTATCAATTCGTCACTCTGTGCTACTTTGAATTCTAGAAGAAAACGTAGTTTTTTCTTGCATGCCACGAGGCTGAACAACTAACTGAAGTAAATGGGGGCTACGTCTAACAACAGTAGAACTACAACAAACCACCTGTTTACAAGCTCTCACTCAACTCGTGCAGTATAATTCAAGTCTCATGTATCCAGTTGAATGTTAACTGCTTCACAAACACATCTTTAATAAAACCTTATTGTCTAAAACACTACAGACTCGTCAGGACGATTGGTGCACCTATGCAAGTGCAAGGCCGTTTATTTGAAAGTGTTTTAAATAGTCAGGTTTTAGTGAAGATGATGCGTTTTTCACCGACAATTAACTGAGGTATTTAGAACACCTGTCCAATATGCAACTGGAGAAATCAAACAAGCTGTTTGATAATGCTCCTTAATCCCAGACTATAAAAGCCTTATACTCATAATTGCAGACAAACAAAGAGTAAAGGTGGAGTTCAACTTTCAAACTTGAAGCCAACCCTTAGTGTCACAGCGTGGGAATATTTACAACAATGTGAGAATCATAGATTCAATTCCAAAGGTCTGACACTAAGTCACCAAAATCCCTGCTGTCACTTGGCAGCATGAAGACAGAGAAGAAACTAGGCCACCATGTTTTACCAACAAGCCACTGGCCCTGATAAAGAAATGTCCCTGCAGAAATAAATAGATGATGGTATGGAAGATGCTTTATCAAACATATCATCTGCAGTACTTCTGTGTTAGAGAAATAAACTGATTCATCAAACGGCAAGAAATGAATTGACAACAAAGCATCGGCTGTTTCTCACCGACCAGGTTCTCCTTGTTCTGTAACTTACAAACGCGTTTCTCTTGACGAACTCGGCCCAGTGCATGTTGAGTCTGCGCAGCTCCTCTGCCAGGCTCCTGCTGGTCTGAGGGTCTGTGGACTCGATCAGGAAGTTACCCATCTCGTTCAGGTGGGCCTGCCGGGAGCCCCACTCAGCCGACGACTCAGAGGTCACCTTAACAGAAAACATCAATAGAGCAATATTAAATCAACACAGAGCACCGTTATTGAAGTGTGCGGAAAAACATGTGTGTCTGCAAGAGAAAAGCAATTTGATGTATATATTTTGTGAATTATTTTAGCAGACTTCTTAGTCGACATTTGCACAAATATTTCTACAAATGCAGAGCTGCTCTGGAGGAAGGAATAAGCCACTGGCTAGTCTTTTAAACGTGGTTCTCCTTCTACTAACTAAACAATACATCATTTCTTATACTCGTGTGTTCATTTCACCTCTGGTCTGTGGCCATGGCTGTGTGTTGCAGAGCCCTGCTCCAGCCAAGCCTGCAGGGAGCTGAGGCAGTCGCTGTAAGAGTCCCAGGCCGACAGGACGCGTCCCATGGCGCTCTTGGTTTTGGTCACGTCTTGCAAAACCACGGCGGTGTCCTCGTCCAGCTGCTTCACATGCTGACTGACGTGCTGGTAGTCTGCAGCTGAGGAGCAACAGGAACAAACTCAGTCAATCCAGAAATGAATCCACGAACCGGCCGGATCACCGAAGTAAAAACTTACCGAGGGCAGATTTGCTTGAATATTTCTCAGAAACCTGCTTCAGTTTATGAAGAGCTGCTTCCAGCAAAGACGGCAGCTCCTGTGTGTTTACCAGAACCTGTTTTTAGAAAATACAGTTAAAGTCCATAGCAGCCATATTGCCATGCTCATTACACAGCAGAAAGAACATCACTGGATGACGAGGTAAAAAACTGAGGGATGAGCTCTGCTATTCTTAGACCTTTGTCTTTAGCGGGGCAAAAGCATTGCTGGTTGTAAGTCTGTATTGTCAGATTTGTAGCATAATTTAGTGTTGCTAATGTTATCTGTATCATGTTTAGTATTTTTCTAGCATTAGGATACTATCTATCTATCTATTTAATAAATCACCGAGCTGTGTGAGGGGGATAATATTCACACTCACAAATAATGAGAAAAAAAACTTGGATTTTCTCTGAGAATCAAGAGAATCAAAGCTCATCATCACACCACAGACGCCACAGTTAGCTGCACGGTAACATGAGCCGCAGAGTGCAACATATGTTAATAATATTAGTATTTATTTATGTTCGTAAAAGAAGACAGAAAGAACAATGTGTACATGTATCTTTCAGGACCTTCCATTCCAGGATCATTGGAAGTTTATTTATCTGAATATTACTATGAATTCTTTTTTTTTTTTTAACCTGCAATGGCCCTCATACGCTGTCATAACTATCACACAAAATCAAAAACATAAATTATGTAAAGCACCCTCGTACCACTTTCTCCAAACCACGCCCAATAAAAAAAAATAATTTCCTCAGATGCCAAATCGACTCACATCACATTCTTGCAGCAACACCCTGACAGCCTCCGGGGAGATGTACGGCCTCTTCCAGACCCGCAGCTTGGTCCTTATCTGCCCCAACAGATCCAACACGGTGTGGCGCTGCTCGCAGTACTCCAGCTTGATCCCATGGTATTTAGCCGTCACTCTCACGCTGGTGAACCTGGTGAAGACGGCAACAAAATGAGAAACTAACAACACACAACTTGAAATCATTTGTTTAATGTTGTAAATGTCAATCTTCAACTTCAGTTTGCTTCTCTGATATATATACGATTACACATGTACACAGATAAATGAGCGCGCTGTCCTTCTGGGAAAGTACCCTCACCTCCTCTTCAGTTCGTCCATCTTGTCAGCAGGAACCATCATGTTTCCATCCTCATCCAAGTTCTGGAAGGACTGGAAGGACTGGAAGGTCTTCACATGCTGCGGCATCTCCTCCAGGCAGACCTACGGCAACATTGAACAGTGAGCACTTTCACAACGCATGATTAAGTGTAAATATAATACAGAATCATCACGGCTGCTCATCAAGGTCTATATTTAACAGGAGGTTAGGGCATCCAAATTATCCCCAAAACACATATGTGCCAGTTTGTATGATTCTGTTTCCCACCTTTCCTGAGCAGAGAATTAACAAATGAACACTCAGAATAAAGGGGCTATTCTGCAGAGGTTATTAATATCTTAAATGTTGAGAACTCTGCCTGAGGAATCTGCGCTTACTAAGCCAGTATTACTGTTTATTTCACTTCCTAAAGTCGTGAAGTTTCAGCGGGTGGATGCGGTAAATATCTATTCACTTTGAGGAGCTCCTGTTTCTCCCTGGCGTCGTCAGCGGCTCGGCCGTGGTCCTGCGGGTCGCCCTCCTCCTCGGCCAGAGCCTTCTCCGTTTTCAGCAGCCAGCGAGCCACCGTGTCCAAGGGGGCCGGGAGACTCGTGTCTAACTCCACTTTGTATTCACGGAGCTTAATGGGAGAAAAAGATGCACATTTCATTACAACTAAACTCTCTCTCTCAATGTCTTTCAAATTAAAATGCATACAGAAACAAGTAGAGCGGTACATAAATACTAACGTCTGTTTCGTTGCATACATACAGTAAAGGCATACAATAGGGATCATGGCTCATATTATGTTTATATATTCATCTGAAAAGAATTAGACTGTATAGTGCTGCACATACGATATTGGAAATATTCAACTATTTAACCAATTAAACCGCATTAAAAAGGTCAAATGTACCAATGTGAAGGTGTTTAAAGATTTGTATGGGACATGAAGTGTGAGTGACACGGACCTTTTCAGTGAGGGAGTCCCACGCCTCTCTGAGAGCTCGCTGCTCTTCGCTCAGTTTCGAGGTTCGTCTCATCGCCGTCAACAACGGCATGATGGGACGCCGCTGCTCGTTGAAGGACACCAGAAAGCTCTGAAACACCTGAGGGATGGAAAATGGCAGCAAAAATGAAATGTTTGAAAATTTCAAGGATCATTTTGTCTTTGCAGGACGTTTATGACACACAACATTCAGCAGGATATCGTTCAGATTTGATGGGAATAGAGGAACAGGTAAATATGGCATCATGGTAAAATCATGATGAGGCAATTAATAACTGAAAGATAAGATAAGATAGAACTTTATTTATCCCGAGGGAAATTATTTCATCAAGTTTAGAATACAAGAATAACAAAAAAAAATAGAATCAAAACATAAACATATATGAACTATAGAATAACAATTATTAGTAAGTAAAAAGTCAAAAATTCAACTAATATAGAAAAAGTAAACTACAACAACAAAGATTAACTACAAGAGTAAAAATATATATTTTCGGCAACTGTACCATCAGCAGTGAGAAAGACCATCATGCAGTGATACTTAGAAATGCTCCGATGTGTCGGATAGGAAACCTACGTGGTATCTCTCCGAGTAGCTCTCTCCCTCGGTGGAGTCCCATCCCTCCAGCAGCTCCTCGTAGGCCTGAACCAGCCAGCATGTCACTTCCTGTGCCTTTCGAGCGGGCGTCGCCTGGAAAAGTGGACAAAAGTAAAATGTTATTGACCAAAGACGAATGAACTATTCCAGGCTAAATTTAGTTGTTGATTTCTTAAAACATTTATTAGTCAGGATGAGTGATATTTAGTTGGATTTTGGGTGCTTTCACCAGCCAAAAAAATGATACATTGTTGCATTTTAGTTCAGGTCCAGGTTCTGCTCACACTGATGAACCAAGAGGAGCAACATGAATTTATTCGGACTGTCAGGTAACTCGCTGAGTGGACAATTTTGGTAATTATCATACCGCATCAGGACCCACGTGACTGTGACATGCACCACGGTTACCAATTGATTAGCATAAACAGGGTATATATACAGGGCCTTTTACAGATCAATTATAAGGTCGCTTCCTCAACAGATTTCACGATCACGATCAGATGTAATTATTAGTTATATTATTGCTTTTGAAATTACGCTAAATTCCCATCTGCTATCATGAGAGTTTGGTGGTTGCTTTGCTTTCAAACCACAAACGAACCGTACGAGTCCGCTCGGGAGCGGGCCGAGACCGACCTTTTCTAGTGGGCTCAGTATGGTTGGGTGGTCCGCACCGGGGCTCGACTGACAGCTTTCCCACTGACCCAAAGCAAACGTACTAACCGGGGAAACGGAAATGAGTTTGTTTTGTGTGAAAGCATCTTTAGCTTTCCAGATAACTTTACTTTTTATCTGCACACAGAAGAACGACAGCTAAACATTGTCCGATTGAACAGGTGAAAAAGACACGAACATGGCTCCACACATCTGTGTGATTTAACTGTAACTTTGTTTGTTTATTTACATCCCATACCAGTAGAAGGAGCTGTAACCAACGAAAGTCAAAACAGGTGGCAACCAAACAATGTCTGGAGATAAAGAGCTGTTCTCCTCTGCCTAGAGCTCAGATACAAGTGTTCGAGTTTTAGAAACAAGTTTCTATTTACTAAGCAACACACCTAAAGAGCGGAGCATAAAAGCTTTCCCACAAGGCATTAACACCAGAGTACCAAGCCCAGACAGAGGTTTGATTTGGCAACCAGGTTGTTGTTTTTTTATCTCTCATAAGAACACAGAAACATAAGGTCGGTGGAATGAAGGAATAGCTGCGCTGTGTTCAGCTCATGGGAGGCAGAGAAACACACCCTCGCTGTGGCTTTGGGTCGCCTCCCAGAAAACAGGGCAAACTAGTTCAATTGTGCACGATCAGTCGTGCTCTTAACCACAGAAATGACTTGAAGGTAATCTCGGCTCTTAGCGACAGACTTTTTCAGAAAAGTAGCTGCAGCGCCGTCCCAATAGATAAAACACTTTCCCTGGCGGGTATTTACGAGACATAATCGTCAGCAATGAAATCTAAAGTTATTTGCGGGTGCTACGAGGGTTTTGGTGTGGCTGATTTACGTTGAACCCAGAGGTTCTCCACAGCAATGGATGAACAGAAAGACCTCAGCAGTGACAGGGGGGGTGTCTCTGACGGAGATACAGTAGATTCAGACTGGTTGTGTTGTTACTTATTGTTTATTCATGCATTTATACATTTCTTTATCTGTTCTTTACTGTTAATGTACAGTTATTTACTGAGGTAGCCTCACGTGTGGCTAAATCTATTGCGAGGTTCTGTGCTTGGAAGGTAAGTAGGTGGATGAAAGGTGAGAAATGAAACAAAGGCGGATCTGGACTGTCAGGTTTACCTGTCGCAGAGGTGAAGCAGAAATAGCAGGAGTGTAGTGAACAGGCAGGTTGACAGGAGAGGGACTTTTAGGAAGAGTCAGGTATTGTGTCTAAGGGGGAAAGGGAAGGAAAAAAGGAGAGGAGAGAGGAGGAAACAGTAAACAAAAGGATGCCAAGAAAATAGAGAAATCCCAAAGAAAAAGTGACGCTAGAAAGACGGTGGCAGAGATACATGAAGGGCAATATACCAAGCTGGCACTTCCTAATATTATAATATATGAAATACAACTGGAGTGTCTCATGAGTAGAGAGAAGCTGAGCAGGAGTGGAGTCAGTTAAGAACATACTGTAAACTACTCTCCTGCTGGTTTGTATCTGTTCCTGTTAAACGTGTGAGGGAACATCTGCACAGGCTGCATGTATCCATCTTTATTCCCAAATATTGATTTTGGCATGTATGCAATAAAAGCCATACTAAGCATTACATTTAGTCATTTGAAGGTAAAAAACATCTAGATATGACAGTCAAACAGGACGTTTGTATATCTCAGTTACATTTAAATTGAAATGCTGTTTCCTGCTAAATGTTGCCTGATTTTAATCTTGATGTCTGGACTTCTCTTGATCTACCAATCAAATCAAATCAATGCCGAGTGAGCAGAGCCGGTTTAGACAGCACTCCGCTGCACCCTAGTTGTTGACACTGCAGACGTTTGTCCTAAACTGTCACAGCTCTGTCACTTCTATCCACCTTTCACTCACCTAATTAGTTCATTCAGTGCACCTGCCAGTCACACTCACCTCATCAGCTCATCACTCTCACCTGCTCACTCTGCCTCTTCACTATTTAAAACCCTGCCTCACACACACTCACTGCCAGATCGTTCTTTGCATTCATGCTCAACTTTCCCGCACTCTCCCATGGACTGATTCCCTGTTGCCGACCCTGCCTGTCCCGGACTACCTCGCCTTGCCTCTGCCCTGGTAACTTACTCACTCAGCCCTTCTGTCCTTGACCACGAGAAACCTGTCTGATTCTTCCAGAGAATGTTCTGCCTGTCGTGTGTTGCAAATAAAGAACTCAAATCATACCAGTCCTGGTGTTGTCGTACTGCTCCTGGGTCCTAACTACACCCGTTACATAAACTGCCTGAGCTGGTTGTCAGAACTAGAAAAGTAACAAGTAAAAGTCTCCTGCTAGCATTGCTGCAGTGTAAAATGTTGCCCTGCTGTATGGTGCTTGTCTAAAAAACAAAAGAGTGATACAGACCTGCATCTCTTCCTCTGGCACCGGCAGGTCTTTGGAGTACTGCAGGAACTGAGCCACATAGGTCATGATGGACTTCTCATCGGGGTCTCGAACGTCCACATCTGCATCCACATCACATTCCTCCATGATCAGTCCTCACACTACTCTCACAAGTTTGGACTTCTGCAGCAGCTGGAGTTTAACACTGGAAGTATGCGTAGCTTTTGTCTTACAAAAAATCCAGCTGATAAAAATCTGCAAACGAATTAGCAGGCGGAGTGAAACAACTGGGTTTTATACGAGTCTGAAGGAAACACAGCGAGCGAGTCAGCAGACTGTCAGATCGTCATCCCACTCGCCCTCAGGCTCGCTGGGCACGGCTCCGTCACAATACTCAGCTACACTCATACAAAGACTCTCATGGCACCACAACTGCTGCTGCGCAACTATGTCGGTGACAAATCTGGTGAATAATATCTGGGCGTGGGGGGGTGGAGAGGTAAACAAAAGACTGAAACAAAGCTTTGTTGTTAGCAGAAGCGAGTGTGACTGTAGTGAACTGACTGTGGCTAATAAATCATGAATTAAACAAAGTGAAACACGTGGACAATATGTGGGAATCTTTGTCGTGTTACTCATATTTCTGCATCAGCCTCAACTTGACAAATAAAAACAATTTAGAGAAATTGCATATTGTTATATTTTGGTTGCCTAAAAATAACAAGCCTCAATGTAAAATTGGTTGTTGTAGTTCTAGTTATTGGACTAATAACTAGAACTAACTTCATTAATAAACCGACAAGAACAACAACGCAGAGCTAGTTCACATAGCGTATGATATCCCTACAGGAACTTATATCTTGCAGGTCTGGTGAGAGAGAGCTTCACTTCACATCCTCGAACGTGCATATAATATTTTACTGTGATATTTCCTGAGTGCAGTGAAGCTGAACTACTCACCATCGGGATCCAGCAGTCTGGGGATCCTCAGCTCTCTCTCGGCGATGCGGAAGGCCTCCTCCAGGTTCTGCCTGTTGCTTCTGGTCCTGGCTTTGGACAGATCCACCAGGTCGGGCCGCAGAGCATGCTGGATCGCCAGGAAGACCACTCCGCTCCTCCAGCTAGCTTTGAAGTCTTTCACGTTTATCGAACAGCCAGCTCTGAGGGAAGCAGATCACTTTGTTATATTATCATACAGGTGATTCATGTTGCACATGCTGCCTGTCAGAGGGTCTGTTTTGATAGATAAATAATTTTTAGGTATGCATGTATCAACATATCCATATAGTCCTTACAGAGCTTAATGGCCTTTGAAAAGGCTATTTTCAAAACTACGTTCCGGACTTCTTAACAGAAAAACATGTAAGAAGGGATTTTACATATAATACATGTACAAATATGTATTTCTTTGGTAGGCAGCGTCTGAACAACCACAGCTCAGCCCTGATCATGTTTTGGTCTTTAGCCCAGACGAGAGGGTTCCCCGTGTGAGGATCCATCACTTCTTACATCCCATATTGGCCCACAACAGAAGAGTTGCACCAATTACAGGTTTCTCAAGGCTTTGACAAGTCAATATATCCATGTCACCCAAAATAAACCCGACAACACATTTAGTGTACCAGACGTACCAGTGTTCATTAATACCAGCTCAGCTGACCCGGTGCTTACTTGTGGCACTGTTCTCGGACCCAGAGCAGCAGGGCCTTCTTGGCAGAAACCCTAAAACGGTTGTGTAGCGGTGAGCCTCTGGGAGGAACAGGACTGCTGCCGGCCGAGCGGCTCGACAGGGTGGAGTGCGAATCCAGACTGGCCAGGGACTCCATGGAGGACTGACGGGAATTGAACGAGAGGCTGCTGGCCAGCTCCTCGATCTAAGGAAACCACCAACATACAGTTTCTATTTAAGTAAGAGTTTAAAAGATGTAAAACAACAGAACAATACTGCACAAAACAACAAGCAAGATAAGGGAAGGGAAAACATCTCTAATGCAGAAAATAAGATTAACATCCCATGCTTAATTGCAGCATTGCAATTGGTTTCCTTGCTTCAATAATCTGGTTTGATCTTCGGTTGATTTCCCCCCAGGAAATCTTCTCAGATTTCATTAAAAAGGATAAGTGGACATCTCTGAAGGCTTTTTTAATGCTGACGGTTTATCTCGGTGAGTTGAGAAGATCAGAATGATCAAAGTGGAAAATCAACGAGAAACACAAAAGACAAGAAGGAGAGAGATAATCTATAAGAAGGTATATTAATCTCACATGATACTGCAGAATGATTGTCCATATGAGGCCCAGGATGATGGACGGTTTCCCATCAATAATGTCCGGAATGTTTATGTTGACTAGTTTGATCTGGAGAGAAGACAGAACACCTTTTCAAACTTGCACAAAGCCCCAATTGATACACGAGGAATGACTGCGTTGTGGTTGTATCATCCCTCTGGTTTATTGTCAGTAGGAGACTTCTCATATATGGTCTCTGATGACGTTTGTCCGACAGCGTGTTTGCGCGTCACTTACCGATTTCTTCTTCAGAAAGGAGAGGGCTTTCTCGATGTTGCTCCTGTGCTGAAACATTCCCCTGCCTCTCTCCCGACTCTGCGAGACACAAAGCGAGAGTCAGTCGGCCGGTTCACTAAAGCGGTCGGCTGTATTTTGGAAAGCTCGTGTAGTGTTTAGTGAAGAACTCACGAGGCACTGGCCGCTCATCACCTCCAGCAGGTCCAACAGTTTGGAGCCGTCACGGAAATCATTGAACAGATCCACGACCATACACGGCGGCCTCCGCTGTCACAGCACACACATTTTATATTCATATTCATGTTGACATGTGCAGATAAACAACTGATAAGAGAGCTGATGCCAAAGCTGCAGAACAGAAAGTTAGTAGACATGTTCTTTACATTTTTTATAAAACAAGCCATGCTTGAAAGAATTTGATAACCAAAAAAAACATGAAAACTTTCCCATCGCACTCATTGAAATATGCATCAAAATTGATGAATGAAGACATTTTTCTGCACCATCTGTTGCGACCTTGAATGCTTCAAGCTTGAGCTAACGGATGACTCGCTCCTTGTGACATCCAATTAAAATCAGTTAGATATTAAAGCACGTGTCGGTCAACTTCAAAACAAGGCTGTTTGTTGATTTCTGAGAAAATTTGATTTTTGGCGATGGTTCATCTTCTCCTGATATAGATGATTATTGTAGATTTACAAGTGGACTGAAACACAATAATAGAATCGCTCTCTGCCCTGATGCTACACCAATCATGACAGCACCGAATGACACGCTGAGGACAAACTATTTGGTTCCAAGAGAAGATTACAACAACAAAAAACAAGATGATGGTAGGAATGATGGAGGGAACACTGAAGAAAGTTCACTAAATCTGTACACTGTCAGCATTTATGCCAATAAGTAACACGCTGCAGCACAGAACTGCCAAAGATATGTTTAAAGTACTTGAGTTACAGTGTTGCCGTGATGTACTGGTCCACCAGAGAGCACTTGCATATTTATATTTCACATCTAAAATATCCTGCACAGTACATATATAGATCCCATTCTTCAATAACCATATTTAATCTTTTAAAAACATGTTTGTTAAAGATATCATCAGATAATAACTTCACTTTTTACCAGAGGGGACATTGTGTATGCAGTAGTTGCAATGCAAAGTAAATAATGAACAGAGTCATGTGTTTATGGTAAAAGAAACATTTGGGTGAGAAATTGCAATTAAACATCCCTCTCAAATATGACTCCGGGCATCAGCCTCACACAAAGCAGTCGTCTGTCAGGATGTGTGGTTTTTACTGTCAGATTACCGTCAGAGACATTCAACGATCTCATGTTCACTTTCTGTCTTGTTATGTTGGGATATCAAGCAGTTAAGAAGAGCCCAAAACAATCCAGAAGAGCAGCACACCTCTTATTTCTCCTTCCTGATGTTTGGTCCTTTCATCTGCAAATCATCTTAAATGTGAACCTATAGATGAGCTTCATTAACCTCCTCACATACTAATGGTCCCATAGCCTGTAACCTTTGCTCACTAACACGGCGACTGAGGACTCAAAGTGGACATGGAGCATTATGGAAAGAACACTATTCACATGTGACACAAGGTACTATTTCAATCTGAGCTCTAATGTGAACAACCACCAAAGGATGATCGATTATCTCCACCATTCATTCATCGTTCCAATATTTCCGATGTGAGCCCAGAGCTGGGTGGACGTGCGGTGGGTGGACGAGGGGGTGTGGTTGGTTGGTTGGTTGGTGGGGGGAGGGGGGGAGGCTGCTGGCCGTCTGTTGCTGTCTGTCTGTGTGCTGTGAACCTTGCTCCTCTTGCTCCTCTTGCTATATTTATGTACACGCTTCCCCACCTCCAACCCAACCCGACTGTCCTCCAGTGTTTGGCTCACAGCTGACCGGCAGCGTGAGGCGGAGAGAGAGCCGACGGTCTGCTGCTGACTCGTGTGAAGAGGTAGTGTGAGAAAAAACGTTGGACTTTACTGTAAAACACGAGCTGGGAAAAAGCCCCTCTAATGGTAATAAAAGGATGTGGTCGCGTTTTCACACGATTTGATATCGCATGCAGAGCATCGCAAATCTTATTGATTTATTCAATCCTCCTTAGAACCTTTCAGAAGAATTTGGTATAGTTAGCTCACAGAAGTATTTTAGAGGTAGCCTGAGGGGAAAATTCCCAAAAAGGATTTTGTAGTCGCTTAACCTGCACAAATAACGAAGAAACGTGTACATCTCAAAACACCCACAAACGGTGAAATGAACCCCAAACTGTGCAGCCAAGCCAGTAGCGTCTCGGTGCTCCTGTTCTGTTCACACATACTTTCTATGCAGACATTCGGTGTAAAATCTGCCCATTATGCAAATGAGCCTCATCGCACAAACAGTCCAAAGATCAGCGCTCATCTCCACATGCAGTTACAGTGAAACTATGGGCATCTTCAGAGATTTTCCCGTTAATTAAACAAAAAAATAACAATTACAAAAGGATGAAAATATGACAATGTAAAGAAGGATTTTTTCTAAATAAACAAACTGAGCTGCAAATTGCTGTAAGGGAGAATATTCTTAATATTTCGTGCATAAAATGTTTGTTTGTCTGTATGTGAGACCTTAACGACCCGATTCCCCTCCAGACATTATCAAATTGCATCCATATTACATACAAAAGAATTTAAACCAAATTTACAAACAAAGATCATTGATTGCAAACATACTTTTCAAGTTAATTTTCATGATATATTATTTTATAAGTATGTGTGACTGAAATGTACCGGTTGTAAAAGCATATTTACAAAGAGAGGCTTAAATAGTGGCAGATGCAGCATCATTTGAAGCACTTCACTTCTCCCTGGGGCGAGTTATTGAAGCAATGCATATTTAAAAAAACATGTTTAAACAAGCTATACGCTGTAACTGAAAACAGACTAACAATGAAAGAGTCCAACCTGCTTATATAAAGGACCGGTAAGATTAAAAGAGTAAGCTTTGAGACACGGCTCACCTTTGCCAGCTGAGCGTTGACCCAGTTGGTGAAGGTCTTCCTCTGAATCTGTTCTTGTTCCACTGTTGAAGAAGAACAAACACACAACGTCAAGTTTCATTTCTATCGTCACGTCGTGCACATTTAGGTATTACAGTCGTGGATTATTTATATTGAGTGCAGCTGTAGAGTGGTCCCAAGTCCCTAGATTGCTAGTATTATGAGCAACAATGTGTGTGCTGTTTATCTCACTGAACCTAATACCACAATATGCCGAATGTGATGTGGTTCGTGTAAACATCACTGTCTGTTTAGATATTCTGAATTAGACCTCACACCAAATGGAGAATTTTCCGATTAAGACGTGTTGGATGTGCCGATATTACTCAGGTTGTAGGAGCACTCTTTGGACGTGTTTTCAGCTCATTCTCTATGTATATGGGTATCAACAGGTGCTTTGTTTACGAGCAACTCTGTGCGTTGAACACAAAACAACCAGACAATAGTTTGTAAAGCTGGAGTAGAGATGCATGTCCAGAAGAAGACTCCTACTGTTAAACATCATGAAGGACTTGGATATCAACAGGTTCTTGGATATGAACAAATATCTCAACGCCGACCTTTAAGCGAAGGTGTTTGAAGGAATGAAAGAGGGAGGCTGAGTTCACACGGTCCAAGTCCTCCATCTTTTGACGCAAAGAAGCAAAAATGGCACGAGCAGCTGAAGCCGTTCCACTTTTCAATATTTGTACGTAATAATTAACGCGTTAGCATCGACCCGTCAAACACAGACGATAATGACGTCGGCGTCGGATTCACTGGTGATGAAGATGATATGAATATGCACAGCTGCATGTAAACGGGAATATTAGTGGAATATTCATGTTCATTAGTCATGTAAACATTTTAGTAGGAATATATTTTGAAATGTTTGGCGCATGTAAACCTCACTGTCGACTGTAACTCAAATGTAAAAGAATGTATTCCATGTAACTCTTAAACATGGTTCCTCTGAAGTCTAGTTATAGGAGACCAAAACAAAATGAAAGCTGAAGGCCTCAAAATAGTTCAGTACAATCACAAAGGTATCACAGCGCTCACCATGCATCATGGAAGTTATCGCAGTGTGCCAAACTATTAAACATCAGGCAGTCAAAGAGGTCTGTACACCTATTGAGGAACGATCCCGGTGTTTACAGCCCTGATCACTTTGCCCTTTAAAGGAGGGTTGTTACAGCAGCAAACACCCACAGGCTAATCACAAGCGGAGGCATGTGGTCTGCATGTTGCCTGAACAAGCAGAGAGCCTCAATACAATACTGACAATAAGCCGCAGAAAATAATTCAGCACAAAAACAGCTGTAAGCATCTTAAGGGGGGGGGGGTTAAAGTGGTATTTGTTTTTTAATAAGTTGATGTCAGCTTGCATACTTTTCTGACATACACACATTACCATTTAAAGCCCTTAAAAATAGATTTTAAATATAACTGGAATGCAGTTTGACATAGAGAAGCTGCACATATACTGACTTCAACTTCCCTGCAAGTACATACATTAGAATAAGACATTTCAGACATGTATTAAGGCGTGTACATCGCTGGTTTGTTTCTTGGCCATTCTCTATTTATTTTGTAAATTTAACGGTCTGCCTTCAATGGGTGGAGAGAGAGACAGGGGGGGAACTAATCTCACATACTGCTGCACCAGGTGCTTGTTGATGGCTGCATGCTCGAGGACGTCTTGTGGTTGCAGTGACTCACACCCCTTTATTGCCTGTTTGATTCTGCCATTGATTGATTACCGACTGCCTCACTCACTACTCTCAACAGGATTCCAGCTGGTGATGGCATCAAGTGAGACACCGTGCTCATTTTTATTGTTTTGCACGGTGTGTTTTGCTAACAGCTAATGGAACTACATACACAGCTGGGTGTATTGCTGCCACACAGCCGCTACTCTCTGGCCAGAGACAGTTATCACATTCCTTTTTATCCGACATCAACCTCAAGTCCTGGTCACGACCGTACGACAGAACCAGTGCAGACGCCTGAACACAATGACAGAGTATCTGTTGTGCGAGACGAGCGAGTGAAAAACAAGCCTGACACACATGTAGTCTAGACTGAGGGTGAGACAATTATGGGTTGTAAACATTACAGCAGTGGTCATTGCAGACACACCTGGCGGAGATCCACATAAAAAAGAAGACTTTACTGACTTGTGATTTATTTGCTAATAAAAAAAGTGCCAAACGGACACATCACGGTTCTGAGGAGAACTTATTTTCCAAAGCATCCCACTGTATGATGAGGCAGAATGTCTATTCTAGATGGATATCTTATGTTTGACAAACAGTAGGCCTACTTGTCAAACTTTCACTTCTTAGGTTTTGTGTATCGCTGTAGAAGTCCCACGAGGGTGAACATTTCAGATGCTGATAATAATTTCCATCATAGTAGTGTGCCTTTAAACCAAGTCCTACAGTTAGTTTTGTAACAAAAAGTCACAACCATAGAGACGAATAAAAGAACTCACCCATGATGGGATCACTCATGTCGATTCAGCAGGGAATGTTTCCAGGTAAACAAACTCTGGAGGATATCAATTTAAACCAAACTTCTCTCATCTATCTGACTCTAAACGTTGCAGATCCATGAAGGAAAACAGTTATGAAATTAGTTTGAGAATAACTCCAGTCTAACGAGCAAACAGTCCACATTTCAAGCCTGCAGGGATGCAGGTGAGATCAGCTGGGGCACACCTCTTTCAAATGTCACTCATAAAGGATTCAGGCCTGCTGAAACAAGACCTGCAACAAGCTATTCCTCCTGCAGCCTCCTGGGTAATCTATGCTTCATGAGCTGCACAATGCTGTGACAATGTGGATATCTCACCTGAAATAACCCAAAGATACTGCTAACCTAATGTGACCCGCTAAACTAGTAACTAGGAATCGGGAAAATCAGAGATGATGTGATGTTAAGGTGGAGGGGTGTGTGTAAGCTGTGTCACAATAAGCATTGTGATTTGATTATATTTTTATATTTTATGAAGGTCAAATTAAAATGCATAGTTTCAATGACCAGGAATGTTTGGATATCAACACGGCAGATCACAACCAGGCGGTAACCTCCGGTTCTGCCGAGTGAAGCCAATGCTTCATGTGTTAAAGCTGCATTCTCTCTAGTGTCCACCAGGGGGCGACTCCTCTGGTTGTATAGAAGTCTATGAGAAAATGACTCTACTTCTCTCTTGATTTATTACCTCAGTAAACATTGTAAACATGAGTTTATGGTCTCAATCTCTAGTTTCAAGTCTTCTTCAACACAGCATGATGTTCATTTAGTACATTATTGTTCATTTAGAGTCAAACAGACCATAAAGCAGGGTATGCTTTAGGGGCGGGGCTACACTGTGATTGACAGGTCTCTACCAGAGACGTATACTCTAGACGCGTCTCTACGTCACTCCTCCTGAGTCCTAATATTGTCACTTCTGTTCATTGATTGCAAAAAAAACCAACATGGCGACGACCGTAATCCAAGATGGCGACACCGAACTCAAGGCTTCAAAACAGCAGTCCACAATCCAATGAGGGACGTCACGATGACTACGTCCACTTCTTACATACAGTCTGTGATCACAACACATCATGGGGTAGACACAAACGTGTTTTACCGTGTTAGCTAACATTCCCTCAGATGCGGTGACGCAAAATGGATCAGTTGTGCGCCAGTAAAAGCTGCAAATGTTGTCATGTTATGTTTTGTTTCTCATATATTTGGGAATGTGTTCCTCTGAGTTGTTTTTTATCACCCAGAAATTGGCCTTGACCTTTGACCTCCTAACTCTAATCAGTTCATCCTTCGGTCCAAGTGCATGTTTGTTCAATTCCTCATCATGAGATATCGTGTTCCTGAGTAGACCAGACGAACAAACTGAAAACATTAGCTCAAGCTTTAAAAAGAGCTTTTTTAAAGTTATAATCTTGAAGCTCTCCGCTTCGTTCTCTTTGGCAGCATGTGGTGTGTTTTTTTTGGATCTCACTTCCTCACTGTGCACCGCTTGCGATTCTTCCTGAGAAGGTCGCCACAGACACCCAGTTCGTATTACTGCAAATACAAAGGCCTTCTTCAACGGGCCACAGGTTCAAACACCATTGTGTGACCTCATTCGGCGATAGATAGTGAGCTATAGTGAAAAGTGCTACAATGATGATGGCGATGATGAATAATATTATTGTTGGAGTGGTTTCACTTGATAACAATCTGGAGTCAGAAAAGTCTCCATAAAACATCTGGTTTGTTCCCTATAAGGCCCCACGTAGCAATGACGCACACAACCGTCTCAATCCTTCAATCCGCTTTGACACATTATCATTTTATGAGCATTACATTATAAAACCACATTGCATGTACTCTGGAGAATTCTTCCTCACCCTTCTGATACAAACCCTCTTTATTGACATTCTTGCATCATTACCACTTTAAATACCGTCCAGACAATACTTCCCCAGTCTGTTTTAACAAGCTGGTTTGTCGTGGAGGAGTTAGGCCAACGTCATCCATTCTCCACAGTGTGCCAGCTGGGAGTAAACAAACTTTACAAGGCTTTAATAAGAAAAAAACAAATAAATAAAAACACTGTTTTAAATGTGTAGAGGAAAGAGTCATGTGCCCTCTTATAAAACTGCTTGACCTCAGGCATCCATTGGTACCGACCAGGTCACGATACCTTGCCGGGGAGGAGGCAGAACAACGCTCCAAAGTTAAGCTCCATCTTTGCGAGGGAACAAAATGGAAATGGGTTCTATGGTCCCCACGAGTCTCCTCTTTACAGATATGTTTGTGAAAACACCATGCAGTCTTTTTGCATGCAGTATAAAAATGTTATTTTTGCCTACTCTCAACGGTGTATTTGAATATTTCACAGAAAAAGTACAGCTGAGGCAGATGAGAATGTCATCAGTTTTACAGGTTTTTAGTCATAAATCAAAGTAGAGCTAGATTAATAAATCATTTGAATTTATTGCTTTTGATCTTTTTTTATTATACGTTTTGTTTATTTAAACATAAGGAAGAAATGTGCATCAAAGTTCTCCAGAGCCTCAGGTGACGTCTGACCAACAGTAACCTGAAGGTTTTCAATTTACAATGACACAAAACTGAGAAAAGCAACAAAGTTTGATATTTGGAATTCGATAATTACATTGAACAGTAAATCATTAAACTGTAAATCGTCAAAATCGATTAAGTTTCACCATTAATCAATTCGTAACAACAAATATTGCTGGATTTTGAGATGAAATGCTAAATCTTACAGATAAAGTGACACACCCGTTAAACCCAGCCTGTAATATGGAGAACTGATGATTGTGCAGGCAGGAGAACAGGATCAAATGACCGGCACAGCTTCGCTTCAAATGTTCAAAACCACCCTGGGAAGCAGCGAGTTAGTGAGCGAGAGACGTGTCTCCTCCCCCCCCTCCTGCTGCTCCGTCCCTCCGGAGGGCTCTTTGTAAAATGACTCATGTCTCTCTGAGAGCAGCGGCTCAGTTTCTGCACATTAAAGCGAGCATGACCTCAAAGAAAAAAGGGACAAAAGTGAAACAGGACGCGTCTCACTCTGCTGAGTGAGACGCGTAACGGCTTCATAGTTATTATGCTGCCACGGTAACCATGATAAGACATTGAAATCATAGACACGGAGCTTTTCTTTTTTTGCAGTTGCATGACCTCAGCCTTCTCCGGGGCGAGCAGAGACCAGAAGACAATGAGCCTTCACTCAGTTCAGCACCAAAAGCACCACAGTCCCCATAACAACTCAAGCTCAAGTATTCAAAGCACAGAGAACAATACAGAAACTAAAAGAGTGATGTTAAAGTACTGAACCACGGTAAGAACCGATCAGAAACGCCGTGCTGTTGTCTGTACTGTAGTGTGGAGAGACTGACCCTGCAGCAGCATGTGGACGTTGTCGATGTCCAGGGGGATGGTCCCCCTCTCCACCAGATCATCTCTGCAGTAGAAGTCTGACGACATGCTTTCTCATCCACAGCCTCCCGGCAGCATGGCACCACTCTGACAGGAAGAGATAGAAGTCAGTGTTACTGCAGTCCAGCGCAGCTTAAAGAGTGACGCGTAACGTCAACCTCTCATTAAAGGTGTGATGACACCGTGTTGAACAACTCTGGCTCTTAAAGCGGACTTCCTGTCCAAAAGAAATGCCACCTATCGATTCAATCTCTGCTACTCAATCAAGAGGATCACAAACGATATATTCGTTTGTATTTATCTCAAAATTAGAATCACTTGATTTAATTACGGTGGCATTGTTGCCATAATCACGATAGCAGACTTCAATAACACTCAGTAAAAACAGGACTAATGACAGGTACACCATCATGAAAATAACTTCAGAGCTTTCAGACTAAGTCAGATCAACAATACGCACAAACAAAATCACATTTTGATGTATAGTCATGACGTCTGCACCATTTGAGACGTTGCATTTAAAAGCATGCATGAAACAATAAAACAGTAAATGATCATAGATAGAACAGTATAGATTTGAAAAATGTTTGCAATGTTGCAAAGACAGAATTTCCCAAAATATTGTGAAAATGCAACCAGTATCATCCCAGGATATTCTGCATGACTTACAAACAATGCACAACAATATGTAGCATTTGTCTCAGACCAATCAGTGTCATTTAAAACATATGGAGCACTGATTGCATGAACCTTCTTTAAATCAGTCAGATCTGTGATTGGCCGACAGAGTAGACCAATCTAAAGACGTTTCATTGTTATTTTATTGTTTATTTAACAGGGACGATGCACAAGACATGTAATCACATCATCATCACCATCATAACACTCATGGAAAACCTCCTGGATTAGCAGTTTATAATCTTCTGCACCCACAAACAGGCCACAGATAACTGTTTATCAAACACACATGCAGCCACGTGCCAGGATGTAAACTGCTTTTGTTGAAAAAGTCTAAAAGTGCTTTATACAAGGCAACAAAAGGGTCAAGACCATTGCACGGTTAACAAACACGGACCACACAAAGGAAAGGACAAAGACCAACAAGTTTAACAGTTGCATCGTTAAAGACAAAGAAAGACCTTTTTCAACAAAGCAGCAGAAAACACTTCTAAGATACAGTTTTGGGCGAGTTCATCATCTTTTCTGGAGCAATGAGAGATATTCTGACAGTTTCGTCTGAGTGCTGGATGAAGGGTGCTGCACTGTGCTTCCTCCTGTTCCGTCTTGCCCTGCCATATGAATAAGTGAACTGAGAATAATGCGTGACATTTAGACATCTTTCTAAATCCGCCTGCCTAAACAAATCACAGAGTGAAAGAAGATAAAGGCGCCTTTGATTTGACCAGAAAGTCTTTTTTTCCTGCTGATCAGAAACATGACTGACAGTTCAGGAGGACGGACAGGTGAGCGAGGCTAAAATAAAACAGCACTAGGCCTCACTCATATGTCAGAGCAAATGTCAGAGCAGGCCAGAAGGTAGCGGCTGGTTTTGTTTTAACCTGCATGTACTGCCAGAGGGGCGGGATCGCATCCAAGCAAACAAATCAGTGATGTTGTATTAGCTTCCTGATGCCTCACGCCCTGTAGCATCGGACAAGTGCAAAGCTGTTTATTCAAGTGCAGCACTCTTTGCTCGGGGAAGACAAATGTGGGGCCATGAAAGGTCAAAGCTTTATGTTATATCATCAGCTCAGACATAATGAAGTGTTTTAAAAACTGAAAAGGCTCAAGAAGATTTGTCTACATGTTGTATAATTCTAATCAGACCTTTTTTGTCTGCATCTGGATTCAGAAGTGCATTCAAATACAGGTTTAGACAGTGATGGGATGTGTGCGATTATTCAACGCGGTGCAGAAGTAAATATCAGTTGTCATTTACAATATGATCAAACGTATTAAGAGATCGTGCCAATCATGACCTCCCTGGCAGAGGTAATGGTAGAATCCCACACACTATACAACACAACAACATCAACGGTACGGCCTGTCTGCACAGTCAAGGACACTGCAGGCAAAGTTAAGTCTTTCAGTTTAGACTCAGACCACTTTGCTGACACACTGTGTAAAGAAAGGCTGCTGCAGAACCCGGGGCCACAACGGAGAGCTCAGTCACTCTGAGTCCTGAGCATTGAGTGAGGAAGAGCCAGTAACACAGCATGGTGCCAAGAGTTCATAAATATAAGTTTTATCGCAGAGAATCAGATGAGTGATCAGCAAAACCTTGAACTTGAAAATAAGAAACGATATTACACAAACAAGACCCGACAAGATGACTAATGTCAGCCACATAGAGCATTCTGGTTGGTCTGTGTTCCTATAACTGGCTTTAAATAACACTGTCCCCTCATCAATTACATTCCTGTAAAACTATAATAAGATGAAAGAGATCGTTTGCAAAACAGATAAAATATTTCAAATTACTGGCAAGCAACTAAAGTACTTAATAATGTAAAATTACATAATTTGATTAGCCTCATGGTCACAATACATCTGTAGTTCAAGTGCCCTAAAACAAAAGCACAAGGTTTGACCGAGGTTAGTCCCGTGCTGCTGCTCAACCTCTACACAAGAGTCCTGCAGAAGAAACATGCGCAGGAAGTGGACGACCGCCCTCCGACATTAATGCACGCACGCGGACACGCGTATTGTGTATGTGGGGGTGAAACCGCTATAGCACGCCATTTGAGCTATCCCAAGGCTTCATGTCAGCTGCTGACAGAGAGACCGGGCTGGGGGGGCGGGGTGAGAGAGAGAGAGTGGACAAGGGAGAGAGTAAGAGAGGGAGGGAGGTAAGGAGAGAAGGAAAAAAGTCCAAGTAAGGCCGTAGTGGGTCACACTTTTCTTTTCAATTCAATTTTGTCATCCGATCACGCCAAGAAACGTTAACTGTCAAGTGCGTGCGCTCCGAGATCAGATCTCCATTAAATTGGGATCCTGTTGAATTACTGCTGATGAAAACAAACTTTCCTGATTTTGCAGCTTCAGAATAAGAGCTTTAAAAAAAAAACTGGGTGACTTTTATTGTGAAGAATTTATGGGGAGTGAAATGCACTTCTCCACCGTTTAACAGAAATATGAACAAACACTATCAGATCAGACAGGTCACATTGAAGCGTCAAGTGTGGACACACGCATGCGGACACAGCTGAGTTACGATCTGACGTTACTGATCACATAAGTCACGTTGACAAGAGTGCAACAACAAGACCCACCGAGAGCCACGAATGGGCAACTGTCACGGGACTCTAGGTCTTCGCTTACTGAGCAGGACACCTTGTAGTTTGTAATGTTTTGCTGCATTTATCTGATAATGTCAGACTAACTAGAATAACAAGAACATTACGAGTACGAGACAGAATGAAGAGCAAGGGACCGAAACAGAGAGCGAGCCCGTGACTAAGTTACAAGTCTCTCCTGTCAGCTCTAATTGTAGCAACAAGGCAGAGGGCAGAACACATGGCACACACCGTTGTGGAAAAAGCACAGGGAGGGGGACGTCATGAGACCACGACACCAGCAGTAAATGCTTTTCAAATACATATTCATGCATGTATGCATCCAGCTGAGGTGCACACGTTACTGTTGTTTACAGCACTAGCCTGTGGGGAGGTTGGAGGAGGAGAAAAGAGAGCGATGCATTCAATCAATGTCCACACCTCAAAGCTCCGCTAGTCAGCTGATTTAACAGTCCAGATCACCTAACAGCAGGTTTACAAGAGCTACATGTGTCATTGTATGTTTGTTATGTAGAATAAAGACCCAGACCCAAAGACATTACGAAGCTCCTCCAACACATGTACCACCCATCCCTCAACATCCCAATCCTCACATGAATTCCCCTCTTGGAGCAGTAACGAATGAAATGGAAGTAAGACGGAATTGAGTGAAGCTGATTGAGTGCAACTAAACTGACACAATCCAGAACTGATCTGAAGTACTCTGGACGAACGCTGTGACATCCAGAAGTTTGTAGAGCCGATATAAACAAACACCGGTGGAAACCACATCCAACACATTCCCCTGCAGCTTCAGGTTTGACAACGACAACAACTTCCTCCACCGCTGGTTCCTTCCTTCTCAATATCAATGTCATGACTCACTTTGCTACAACAACAACAACTCTCTCCATCGCTCACCGGTTCTCTCATAATTATTTCCAGCAGGTCTTTGTCTGAGCTTGGGCAATAAATCAACAGCGTGTGTGTTGCTGAACCTGTCACACAGAGTGTTCCCAGACACACCCTGGAAGACGTGATAACAGTGAAAAAGGGGGAGAGGCCATCTCTGCTTTCACTTCACTGTAAATGCAACACAGACGTGAGTGTTGTCCTTTTAAACGTGCATGATATCTGGACATCATCATGAGGTCACTGAGATATATCTGGGTGAGCTTTACCCAAACAAACATTTATCTTCAGAAAGAAACAAGCATCAGGGAAATGAAATAGCAACAAAGACGCTCTTAAGATAGAGACTCTATGCTTTGTGCCGTTTCTCACCCTATCTTTGGACGGATTCTTATAGTTTTGCACAAGAAAAGCAGCTAACAATGTGAAGTCACATGCAGAAAGGCAGCTGTTAGTCATGGTCCCTATCCAGCCTTTCCAGAATGGTCTTGATCCACACCTTCTGGCCAGCAGCCTGGTGCTCCAACCTTTGGGCTGGGATATGTATGCCACCAATCAAACCAGGTCACACCACCATGCATAGCAGGCTGCGTGTCTAATCCAGTGTGCTTAGCAGAATGCTTGTCAGGTCACAGTTACCATCTGCACAGGTGGGTTGGGCTTGGTGGGGAAGCATGCATTAACAGGCCTATAACACAATCTTTGTTCACAGAGATGAAGACACATGAAGACAGAACACTAAACAAAGATCTGTAGTGAGGCTTCGGCATCGGAATCATTTTTCCACCAGAAAGCAACGGTTACACAAACACTGAAACCCTTAGAAATCTGAAAAATAATGGACATGAGCTACAGACAAGATCATCCATGTGATTACTCTCCTCTATCTTACACTGAAGTGACTGTGAAGGATCTGAGACGGAGGATCCACAGTGTGGACTACTGTCGTGGTACAACGAGCCCTGCATCTTAAGAAGTGTAGCACGGTGGCATGATAATCACTCTTTGTAGTTTAAAATCAGCACCATGACGTCTCTGAGTAAAGAAGCCTGAAAGCCAAACAAAGGAACTCTCAGTCACTATTAGAGATGTGATTCTCAGTTCCTCAAATAATAGCCCATCACGTCTCTACATCCCCATCAAAGCACTCCTCATGAAACAAAGTGGGGAGCAAGTGATTGTGTGTTGAATGAGGGGTGACGCTATAAAACGCCCTTTTAATTAGATTGAGAATGTAATTAAATAATCTATTAGTACATGATATGACATTAACGTCTCGTTCTTTCTACTACCTCTGACCCTATCACTGCTTTATATTATCAAGTGTACAAAGTGCCTCCCCTATGACTGCAGGAATGTGAGATAGCATCGCTGTTATGAAGCTGTCAGGAGACAGAAATAGCAGCAGGGGACACGTGTGTGTACGGCTGCTTTCAGATCAGTTCAGTTGAGCCGTGTAATGAGTCCTTGAGGAAGAACAGAGGACTTTTTTTAACAACGCACGCAACAAGCGGCTGCCCTGCAGGTTTAACGAGACTGTAATGAGGAATCAGTCTTTGGAAAAACAAACAGGGCAGAAGGGAACACGAGGGGGGATCACATCATAATACAGCAGGACTGTGTAACCCTTCACAGTCAAGAGCCAATGCACGCTTTACTACTGCATGTATTGTTTGTTGGTGTTAAAGTAAATAAAAAAACATTTAAAGAGTGACCTGTACTTACATGCAGCAGTGAATGAAAGATGCAGCGGAGATGCAGGTCCGGCCAGTAATGATTCCCAATGTGGAGGAACAGATTCTGCTCTGTAGTAGTTGGTGGAGATGAAACCTGAAGCGCAGTTTGACAGATCTGCAGTCTGCAGAGCTCCAGAGGCCGGGCCGGACTGTTACCGGAGAAGCCGGAGCCATACCGGTGCCGAGCACAGAAAAAAAAGCTCACTGGTAGACTAAATATAGAAACCAGTCAGGGTTCAACACACACAAGCCCCCCCACCCAGTGTGGCACTGGTGGCTGTCACCCGAGCTAACAGTGCAGCCTCAACAAGTGCAAGTGTGACCCGAAGTTTAATGTCAGCTGAGCTGACTCTGAAACAAATGTCAGACCTGGGAACCTGAATGCAACTTTGTTCTTCTCTCGTTCATTCAGAAGATTGAAACAGAATATAAACTTAAGAGAAGAGACAGAAAAGCGTCTGATTGAGTAAAAATGTTGTTTAATAAAAAGGCTAAAAAATCTGAAATAGAACAATGAAAAATATAAGAACAATATGAAAATAAAGTAAAAGGAAAAATCAATTCAAGCTCTATTAATTAGTACAATCTTGCACCTTTTCAATTAATGTATTTAATTAACAATATAACCGAAATTCTTTCTTGAATGTTAAATAATTAAGCAAAGTACCAAACTAGATATGTTTCCTCAGACGCTCTTGAAAAGAATGCAAGATTTGTCAAAAAGATGAATAAGAAATAAGGGCGTCCGCAGTGTGTAGATTAAAACTAAAACAAGCATAACATTCAACATAAAACAAGAACAATCAACTCATTAGGAGCAAAGTGATCACAAAGTATGCAACGAAGCAAGAACTGATTAAACTCCTGCAACATGTGAAATGCGTCACATGGTGCAGTCCTCAAAGGTCACAGGTGAGTATCAGTACTACTGGTGAGCACCAGAGGTCAGCACAGCATCACCATACTGCTGAGCCGTCTGCAGGATGTCTCCGTGTTTTAGTCTTTATTTATACCAGTGGCGGCTGGCCAATAGAGGGCCATGGGGCCTGGCCCCACCTTGAGCCACACAAAAAAAATTATAATAATCATAAATTATACAAATTGTTAATATTTGTGTTTTTGAACTATGGAATGTACCCAGTAATATGTGTAAAATATATGCTTTTCAACCCGATCACAAAGAGACACAAGACGTCTTCAAAGAGATACAAAACAACTACAAAAAGACACAACATTACTACAAAGAGACACAAGACGACTACCAAAAGTTGCAAAACAGCCACAGACAAAAAATAACGAAAAACTCCCCAAAAAAATAACAAAGAGACACAACAAGACAACAAAGAGACACAAGACAACAAAGA